TTATGAAGACCATTTGTAAGCGATGTCAATCTAAGCTTGGGCTGAATGGAGGCGAAAAGCCTGACAAGGGGATCAGTAGAGCGAAGTGCGCCAAAATGCGCACCACAATCAGAGAAACAGCCAGCGCTTAGTACAACAGCGAATCTATCCCTGGAGCAAAGTGCTAGCGCACCGGCAAGCTCGGCTTTAAGACATGCGATTTCTCCAGTTGACATTAAAACTTAATTTCAATAAGAAAATTTGTGAGAACGAATGGATAAAAGGCAAATATCAAAAAAAAACAAGAAAAACGTCTAGCGATCTGAGGCGCCACAGCCTCATGGTCTTCCACGCACCTGAATCCTGTGATTCCAATCATCAGGTGCACTATGAACATGACGTTGAGTTTTTGCAAACTCTGATTGACAGACTGCTCGACGTGAATGAGGACGGGTTGAAAGTGAAATAGATCGCTAGGCTAGAAAAGAGAACCGAGAGCAAAAGTCGACCTTTGAGGGTGACTTTTGTCGAAGAGCCAGGTCCTAAGTTAATATTGTCCCGCCTTAATAGGCTGAAAGGTCTTAAGCTCCACGTGTGCGCTGACTTAGGCCCAGCAGACAGAGATAAACTCAAGTCTGCGATGAGTGAACTAAAGCAAAGCACGGACGGTGGAAAAACAAATCTCCACATTGTAAATTTTCGGGTAGTCACCCGGATTCCTCCGCGAATCCGGATCAACAGGTTTCTGATGCTCCAGGTGGGCCACGCGGTTCCTACCGCGGCCTGCACGTAGCCTTTACTAACGTCCGCAGTCTGATGAACAAACGCGATGAACAGCACTACTCTGTAATCTCTCAGCGGCTAGATGTATTAGGCCTTGCTGAGACATGGTTAAACTCCGATGTAACCGCCCAAGAAGTGGAAATCAGCGGCTACTCGTGCTTCCGCTATGATAGATTATCAAATGATCGCGGTGGCGTTCTGCTTTACATAAGGTTTTTCTTGTGGCAGACTAGTGAGCAGCTACCGAAGCACTGGTGGTCTATGAGAGCAGTTATGGTGCTCGATTCACCTCAGACGCCGAGAGATGCTCGTGGGCGTGGTATATCGCAGTCCACTGAGCCGCTACTTGGATTGGTTGCCGCATGTCCGCAACCACATGAGCCGTCCGCTGTTCCTACTCATGGGCGATTTCAACTTGCCCCGAATACAGTGGCCTGAGGCTGAACTTCTCCCCGGCCACTGCGAAGTCGAGAGGAGGTTTACGGAGTGTATATTTGAAACCGGAGCCACACAGCACAACAACCAAGCGACGCGCATGAGTGCGCGCGCGACTCCATCGTGCTTAGCTCTGCTCTTGACTAACGGTGAGCAACGTGTGCATGACATTCAAGTTTTGGAGCCCCTGGGAGCGAGTGACCACTCGATGATCATAGCCAGATTGGAACTGCCACTGCCGTATTCTAACCCGCTGGGGCGAGCCTTCAACTACTGGAAGACGGACTTTAATGGCCTCACTCGAGCTGCGGGCCAGATGGACTGGTGGTCACCAGAGGATTCGTCTATTGAAAGCTGTTGGACTACCATTAAAGGGGGAGTGAATACGTTGTGCGCCCGAGTTATACGCCTCAAGTATAGGAAAGTTGGTCCAGTCAAGCCACACTGGTTCGATAAGCAGTACAGCAAATTGGTCCGATGATGACAAGACTATGGAACAAATTCGTGTTATCTGGCTCTAATGAAGATCAAGGTGCAGCGAAATCTTTGCAACGCGAAAACAAAAAGCGGAGAACCTTCGAAGAACAGCTTGCAACCGCCGCAAATACTGCTCCTAAGAGGATATTCGTCTACGTAAAGCGGCGCCTGAGGCTTGCAGACAATGTGCCAGTGTTGGAAGGCTTAGACGGACAGCCCCTAACCTCGAGCACAGATCGTGCGTCCGCATTGGCAGCGCACTTCGTTTCCGTATTTGCAAATGACCAAGTGTCTGAAACGAGTTCGACGAATATCGCTCACGCTGAACTAGACAGCCTAGACTGTAGCATTGAGGATGTACGCAAGCTTCTTGACGGGACGAATCCCGCCGGGCCACATGGAATCCATCCACTGATCCCCAAGTCCCTATGGGCCACCATCTCGCCTTCTGTAACTGAGCTGTTCAACAGGTCACTATCCACTGGACTATTACCGGGCGACTAGAATTGTCCAGTCGCAAAGCCAATACCGGAAGGTGGTAACCCAAGCAGAGTGGATAACTACGGACCGATCTGCCTGGCCGCAGTTTTGGCAAAAACTCTCAAGAGCGTGAAGAAGAGCCTATTGCAGCTTCTCGAGTCGAAAAGCCTCTTGACGCCCAAACAGCATGGTTTCGTGAAAGGTCGCTCGTGAAGCACCCACTGTTGACGAGGCACAAATGCTTGCAAGCGCTGAACCAAGGAAAATCGGTCGACGTCATTTACATTGATTTCAGTAAGGCTTTCGACAAGGTGAATCATGAGGTGCTCCTCCACAGGTTGAAGGTATGCGGTGTTGGCGGCCCGCTACAGCGATAGATCAGTAATTTGTTTGTTGGTCGAAAGTGGAGAATCCAGATCGATAACCATCTGACCGACTGGTATCTCTCGAGCAGTGGCGTGCATCAAGGCACTGTCCTGGGGCCCATTTTGTTTCTGATTCATATAAACGAGGTGCTTCAACTCCTCCGTTCGCATTGTGCGTTGTTTATATATGACTTGAAGGTGTGGAGAGTAAACTAGGCACTCAATGACTGTGACCTGCTTCAGACGGACCTCGACCGCCTCTCCATGTGGTCTGCAGAGGTCAACCTTCCGATAAACCCGGCCAAGTCGCAATTCCTGAGGTTGGTTAAGTGTGAGCACTGTGACCCGTCAAGCGTTGCCTCCCGCGCCTTTTGTTAGATGCCTCGATGTACTCTCATATTACGACCTAAAGTCCATGAGCAACACGAATAGGTTTTACCAAAACGGTCTCCGTATATTTTGGGCGGTCAGGCGCAGCTTCAGCACTTGGTCCGAAAAGGTTGCTACTCGCCTCATCGTCTCAATAATACGACCAATGCTAGAGTATGGTTCTCACACATATCACCCGGGGCGAGGTAGAAAAGACTGAGCGAGTGTAGCATGTGACCATCAGGCTGATTCCAAATTTACGAGGTGCGTCGTACCAAGACCGGTGTAAGAGACTAGAGCTTTACACACTAGCTTATCGTCGACTTCGGGTTGACATCATGAAGCACCAGATAGTACATCTGGGTGATTACTCTATGATGAGGCCGCTGCTTCATCTGCGCACACTAAGCAGTACAGGAGGACCCCGGTACAAGCTTGCTGTGCCGGATTTGAAACAGGTCGCTCACCAACTCTGTTTCGAACGCAGAGAGGCAAATGTATGGAACGACCTGCCGTAGCACGTAGTTGAAGCAAAGTCGGTGTCGGAATTTCAGAAATTCATGGACAAACACTTTGCCGACATAAAATATATCCAGCGCACCCCAACATAACAAGTCTTTGTCCCTGAGTGACATTAAATGCAGCTACACAAAGATACCACTTCCTGCTGCTTCCAACCAGTAAGCAGTAATGATAATGACGATAATGAGGAGGATGATGATGATGGTGGTGGTGGCGATGATGATGATGACGATGATGATGATGATGATCCAAAAGAACAAATGTAGACTGCTCGAGATTGAATAATATCGGAATGGCTGACATACTGGAGCATCCCAGGCGCCAATGGGGGTAGGCGTGGGGCACCTTAATATCAACTGCGACTGAGGTATAATCGTGCTTGAGATCAATCAGAGCTCAGAATCGTCAACGGGGCTTAAAGAGAATGGAAATAGTGATGCTTACTTTGTCCAAAAATTTGGACATGGGAATCAGTTCGTGAGCGTAGCTTGACAATAAAATCGGCACTGAGGTCAATGTAAGCTGGAATAATCGCCACCGAGTAATGAAGAGCGATCTCTTGAGAAGTGTCTGTTAGATCTAGACTTCGTCTTTGACATAGTAAAAGCAGAGTGACATTCTCAGTAACCTGTCAACATTGCTTAACATCAACACGTCAAGTGCATCGCACGGCTGAAGAGCTATCCGCTTAGAATAGTGTAGAAATGGCTTCCGGGGAACAAAATGCACTTTAGATAGCCATCTGACTGTAGGAGTGCGTTTAATCAAGTTGTGATGGTTAGCGTCGTCGACATGATAGGAAGAGAAATAAACAGTAACAGAAAAACGCCAAGTTCACAGACATATCGGACTTCTCAACAAAAGGAAAATATATCGAATGAAAGGCATTACATGAATAAGCGATCAGCGTTGAGGAAGAAAGCAGAGGATGGAAGATCAGTGGGAGCTTGGTGAGTGGATGATACCATCCGTGTGCCTACACTTCGAGACATATGTGTTCTTCGAGAAAATTCGGCCTTTGACTCCAGGGGGTATAGTCTGCCTGGTAACTGCAAGGTTATGTGGCAGGCGGTCGACGTAGTGGAAAATGAAAGCAAGATTGGTAGTCGGAATGGGTAACTTCACGACTACCCCCTATCATAAGCATCAGCAACGCCCGTTAGCGACTACCCATTGGTTAGCACGGTTGGTTAGTGGGGCCTGTGCCACGTGGTATTGTTAAACAGGTGTGAACCAGGGGAGCGAAAACCAGAAACAAGTCCGCAGTTGCTAACTTAGATCTAGGACCGTTTACCTAACTTTACGTTTTAAATATCGGTAAGTTGAGCGGGCCGCAAGGAGTATAAAATGACCGTGCGGTTGCAACGTAGAATTCACTACAAGTAAAGGCGAATAGAACTACATAGGAGAAAAAATGCAATAGCTTAAGCGCAAATAAGAGAGAAGTTGCAGATTGATCAATGATGCCGACAAGTGACGCTAACAGACGATCGCTGATCGATAAAGAGAAAGATAATGGCTTCCAGGTGAGGTCAAAGTTCAAGCGATTAAATCAGAATTAAATAAAGACATGTAGGAGGGTAAACTAACCATAAATGTGTGCTCTCCTGACCTTCGATAATCTTCTGTTGGCAGTATATCGCCCGATCTGAGCTGAAATCGAACGGGAGAGAAGAGGGAAGGGGAAGCTGCGGATAGAGCAGCGGCAGCAGCGGCGGCGGCAGAAGTGTTAACAAACGAATCCACCAAGCAGCCGGATGCATTATTCAGGCCATTTGTGAGACCCCATTCGTTGATGGGTTGATTAAGAGAAGAGAAAAATGGGGACTGACGGCACAACTGGCTAATAAATCCGTTTAGGTCAAAGGTTACGGCTGATTTGGACGCTGCAGAAGGGGCACCATCAGTGGCTGAAACGGGTCGATTGTTCAGGATAGCAGATGCTGTGTTGAACGCGGCAGTGAACAAATTTGCTAGAGCCTGTTGAGAATCCGATCGCAATGAGGGAGAGGGCGGGGTGTAAACTGGAGTGGTGTACGGCCGGAACGCTGTCGTAGAATTAAAATGCAGCGATGAGGAGTTGGGAACACTGGCGATCTTTGGTTGGGAATTCGCCTCAAAATTGAAGGCGTCCAACTTGCATGGTACATTGGACGAAGAGTGAGAGAAGGAGAAAGAAGGACCATCTTGATGATTTGACGAGCCATTGTTATTGTTAAAGCCCATAGATAAAGGTGAAATGGGTGAGCACGGCGGGTCAGAAAGACAATGGTCCCCAAGATTTGATGTAGAAGTGGAAAATACAGAGGGATCTGAACATTGCTGCAAAACACCCATATTCTCTTCAAATCCAGGCGGTGGGTAAATTGAAGAATTGAATAGATCGGAGACATGGGCACCGCGAGAATCGAAGTTCCCGCAGTTTTCGCCGTCCGGACGCGTGAGCGTAGGAATCCATGGGTAGTTGGGCAGTCTGGATCGACCAGGGCTGTACTCAGGTATACTACCATCTAAGCCATTTGAAGTTAACAGATGAGAACCGGAGAAGTTGAGAACATCAGAGGACTCCTTAGCAATGTGGCTGTTCGCACCATGAGGAACCCGAGAGTTAGCTGGGTCATCGGAAACAACAAGCCTATTCACCTCTGCCGCTAACAACTCCGCTAGTCCCTGTTGAGATTCCTGGAAGGGGTCGAAGTCTATGTCAACTGGTTCATTACCAAATGTCGTCGCAGGCTCAGGTTCGGGGGAACCTGAAGAATGCCGTTCCCCTGGGGTATTGTTGCTGTTGATGGACGTATGTGGATAACAACGAGTTACACCAGAGAAAACCTTATGTGCTGTGGCTTTACGGTTTCCAAGACTCCGCGGATGGTCATTCCGATTAGTGAACGTGCGTCTGGAATCGGCCGACTTTTGGTGTGGTCGGCTGACATACTCCGTCGTTTCGAAACGATTCGAGTATGAATGTGTGAGTCCGTCAACATCATCCGAAATCTCCTCAGGCACATATTCACAGGCGGATACGTGCCTATTCCAGACGTTAGTCTTGGACATTAGCGGAGCACAGTCGCCGTTAGATTCGCTCGTGGAGCTCTTAGAGGAGTACTCTGCTCGACAGTGTACAATTCCACGGGACTCGGCGACATGGCCATTGGAGTGAAATTCGTTCTCTTGTAGTTGCCTGGATTGAGGTCGACTGTGTGTGGTCGATTTGGTGGGGGAGATGGCGGAAGAGCGAACGAGACGTGTGCGACTAGCACTGGTTACGTGTCCAGCCACACGAGAATCATTCTTTGGTGGTACGGCTACCGACACTGAGTCAGAGGCACCGACGTCTTGGGCAGAATTAGTTGTAGTGGAGGTTGCGAAAGTATTGTAATCGGAGAGCAGCTTGTTCATGTATTCGGTGTGCTTGCCGGCCTGCATTTCTTCTTTTGTAAAGCTGGCTTCCGGATCTCCCAGCTCGTGCAGGTACATGCATTCCTGTGAAATAGAGTATGCAACAAAAGTGCAATTAGTACAGTGTTTGCTCAATGCGTGCCAAATACGAGTCTCGCAGGCATATGTAACGAAGCCTAAGGAGTGGTTTAGACTAATCCCAACGACAGCCTATGCAGCTACTTTTGTTCAATATACAACTGCGACATCATGCAGACAAGAGCATACGGAAGCGGTCTCGCACAATTATCAGAGTACGCATAGGCATTATTTGCTGCCGAATGATCACGATGTCGCAGATCCGCTCAGATATTGCTACAACCGGATACAAGTGGTTATGGGCCAAACCGTGAACAAACCTTGTGGAGAAAGTCACACTAAGGTCACTTTGGAGCCTAAGAAAACGTAGCGAAAAGTTCTCTCTTAATTAAAGTGACATCGACAATACGCCGACACATTAATGCCACACGACCACCATCAGTCATGTGCGCAAGCTGGGGATTCTGTGAGATGGTCAGCACATGCGCAGACTCAAAGCAGTGATCTGTGGGGACTACAAGCCAAAGGTCGTGTCCACTCGTCAGCCGATCGAGCATAACTGAGGCCAAAAAGTGGTATATGACAGATGAAAACATGAGTGGTGGAAACGTTGCCTAAACCGGAACGCAGATTTCAGAAAAGCAACTCATGTGAAGAAATGGTGAATGCTACTGCCATACAACGGAAGAAGGTGGATGTGCCAATTATAAAGTCGTTTTGATAACACCAAGAGAGGATAACTAAAGTAACCCCTGTTACAAAAAGAATGTCAATGATATTCACCGATAGTGTAGTAAGATCTTCTGTTGAGGATGTGAGGAAAGCCAACCGAGGCCGTGAAAAAGATAAGGTTCCTCTGGGAACCATGAAAAAGAAGCTCCCAATAATGTAATCTACTGACAGTGATTCAATGGTTCCCTGGACTGAAGTGAAATAAAAGGAGCAACTGGACACAGTAGGTGGTTGAGAGCAGTAGAGTCCAATCAGTAAGCGAGCACCGTACATGTACCAGGACAAAAAACAAGCACATTAAGGCAAAATATAACCTGATAAAATTATAACTTTAAAAATATAGGAGCACAAGGCTGGACAGCAAACGATATTGGTAAACACCGGTGTCTTAAGTGAGGTATATTGGAAAGCTGATTAAAATCGACCTATCCTAATGCCCGATCCTCGATTGTCGAAGTGATATGCGTCAATGTATTTTAAAATACAATGACATATAGTGAATAATGGAATCCAGCAAAACGGGTGGATTGACGAACATCGAAAAACAGGGAGTGCTCAGTGAATCGTAACACGGAAAATGAGACCATCGGAAAATAGGGAGCCTACCTGGATAGCTTCGGTGCCGTTTCTTCTCAACACAACACTCCATGACTGGTTCTGTACAGATATGGACAGGTAGAGATCGCCTGAGTTAAGAGTCAAATCAGGTGCACAGTGGTTGAAAGTTTACACCATGATCACTGGACCATTGAGCGCTGTGAGCACATGCTTGCCAGGCGGATCAGTGAAATAAAACCACTCGTCCAACAGCAATTGATGAGCTACAACCTTTTTGATCAGGTAGCCCCATCAAATAAGTGGTACTTCGTAGAATTCCATGGCTAAAAGAGTGTCGAAATTCTCCAATGCGCAATGCCCGTTATCGAGTTCCATGTCATTAAGAGTCGAGTGCTCATCTCCAACTTCCAAAAGAAATACGGCGCGAACTGATGCTGCCGATACGAGACAATGTTATTTCCAATATGTCATCGGCAAACAGGATTTGGAGCAGATCCAGGTACTTCATTCTTGGTGAAGCCTGGAAAAGACCAACGGTCTTACTTGTGTTGATGGTGAGTCCGAAAATGGCCACCGGCGAAGCGTGAGCCGAAGTTATGTGTTGTAACCCATCTGCGCTGTGTGCAAACAACGCATAGTCGTCGGCAAACAGCAACATACGAATGGTGGTCTCACACATTAGGGTTCTCGTCCCGAAACGTGTACAAGACGTCATTACATGAAGGTAAAGATCAAACAGGGCACGGGCTAAGACACAGCCTTGCTTTATACCAGAGACAACTGCAATATCATCCGAGGTTTATCCACTCATCTGCACTCTCCCCCGTAGTCCACTGTACAGACATACAAGTAAACTTACAAACTTACTTGGACAACAAAACCTACCCAACACAAGCCACAGTGCTTTGGAGAAGTCTACAAACAGCAAGCACAATGGCTGGTGTCAATCTCTGCATTTCTCCTGCAACTGACGAGCCACGAATAACATATCAATAGTGTTGCGGCTCGAACGGAATCCGCCAGGTTCGGATCAACGACCTGAGTGACGAGGCAGTTGAGAAGGATTCAGGAGGTCACGTTCCTCACGCAACTCAGTAAGTTGCATTGCTTGTTGCCTTTGCCCTTTTAAAGTGGTAGCACAAGGACATCCTTCAACTCAGCCGGCATTCCCTCTTCAACCCACACGCGGTGTACTAAGTGGTGCAACACATTTGCCAACAAAGATCTACTGTGTTCAAACATTTCCGGCGGTATCCCGTCGGCTCCAGCGCACTTGCCGTTTCGCAGCTGAGCAAGTGCCCTCTGCGTCTCATCGAGTGTCGGTGTGTCGGCCAGACGACTTCAGCTCCTGTTGTTGCAGACCGTGCAACGTAAGCTAGTCAAGCTCTGAACGGTTGTTTAAAAGACAAACGAAGTGCTTTCGCAGATCTGCATTATTTCTGCAGTCTGCGTGCAGGCGGCGCCTGAAGTAGTATCGAGCAAGGTTCACTGCGGCTGCAACACAAGTCTAAACATCGTTTTCAAGAAGGTAAAAAATTCTTTATGTTAGCTGCGTTCGGCGTAGCATTTCATCCACTTCACCTTCTCTGTCCACCATGTATTCTTGATGCGACGGTGCTCTCGAGCCAATCACCACCGTAGTTTGCGATAATAACTCCCCTGCTCTGCATCAGAAGAGTCCACCGCATGCGCAGAGAGCGCTGCATTTTTCAAAGTTCAGATGGGACTGGAGCGATAGGTGAATCTCATGAGTATTTATTTACGAGCGGATCGTTGGGCCAGGAATTGATAACGTTCTCGGAGGTATTGATGAATCTAAAACGAACATCCATATCACACCCTGGTCAACCAATTACTGCCCACATTTCCTGCAGTAGCAGCCCATGATCTGAAAGTCACCTGGAGTAAGAAAGGGTAAGGAAGAAAAATCGAAGGCACGGAGTAGGGAGGCTCACTTGAAATAAGAGAATACCAATGCATGAAGGAAAGTAGAGATGAGAAAATAGAAGTATGAAGCTGTGAGTTTGTCATGAGAAGAGAAAAGTTTCGTGTTGCAACCCAAGAGCGTCAAGTTGACGCTCAAACCCCTTAACTGTAGATTCCCTAATCACACTTTTCGGTAGCATGTTCCAGTGCTCGATGACTGGGCGTGAAAGTCGAATTTTAGTCCAAATCCGATCGGAGTGCGAGTGCTCAGCTTCGTGGAATAATCGCAGAGAACCGAAAGCTAGCGGGACTGAACAGCCAAGACAAAATTAGGCCAACCTTCGCAGTTAAAAGACGGTAGGTTAGGATTAGGTCTCTTCTAATAACAGCAGTAACAAGAAACAGGATGTGGAAAAACGTCGCGATGCGACTGGCCTTAGCGTGGTGCGATGGTTTGCATGCCTCAGCGATCCATTGGGCTACGCTGGATGATGCTTTCGCACCTTCAGAACCATACACATCAGAGTGGTCGATGATCAAAGGGCTGACAAACTCAGTCTCTAGACCTTCCAGGTTGGGGATTGGAGTGAGGGTGGCTCCTTACCCCATAAAACGGACTCTTTGTAGCCCAGTGCCAAAACTCAGCTGGCTTGCGGTCAGGTTTTTGAACTTAAGGCTTTGGTTGAGAACCCTAATAGTTTTCCTGTCTAGGCCTGAGCAACCTGACAGTGTCTTGCCCATTTAAAACAGTGACATGCGCTACCCGTAGACTTAAGGATTACAATCGTGTATTGTAATCGGAGGGAGCGAGTTCGAGCCTGCGTGGGGGACCGGGGGACCTTCGCAGTATCCTTAGTCTGTGTGTAATTAGTGAAGGTTGCGCGACAGCGAAGCATCGGTACTGCGTACCGGCGTACTGTTGATGCCATTTTATACAATGACCTTAACTGCAAACAGTTTCCTGATGCCCTGGCCGTCGCAGAGGATGATCAACGGTGCCTAATCTGCTGCATCAAGCAAAGTGGATGGGAGTTAGGATGCTACTGTCTAGACATCCCCGTCTTCTTATTTCCCCCTTGAGCTTTTTCGTCCTTATTGTCCCGTTCCAACTTAGGTTTTATTCCCCCTGTTTTCAACAAACCCAATTCTCGACCATGCCCCATCTACTCCTGATAAGCATCTGCTGTATAATTTCAAACCATACGCAATCGCAGGGAGTCGCTCTAGTACAGCTGAATAGTCTATATTCAGCTAATCGGATGTCAGTTCTTAGTTTTCCCTTAGGAGCCCCCGAACCTCCCTAAGACTGGCTGCACTCGCACTCACCTTGGACACACTGGGTGTTGATGTGTGTTGTGTGTCCGAAACTAGGATCAATGACCCTAACGGGGTTATTGAATTGACTGCACCCGGCTTATCCTCTCGGTATTGGTTGCACGCATCCGGAGACGCCGATGCAGCACTCACGGGCCAAGCTGGTGTAGGTATCATTCTAAGCTACAAGGCTGAGCCATCGTTGGTTGATTGGATTCCGGTGAACAGCCATGTATGTGCAGCCCGTTTGACGACATCAGCTAAGGTGGATTTACGAAGTAATACAAAACGCTGTTTGTTTGTGATTTCTGCTTATGCTCCCACCGACTGCAGTTCTAATGAAGTCAAGGACACTTTCTATCACGAACTGAACGCCCTATTACCCAGTGCTACTGGTTCAGATATTATAGGACTTGCAGGGGATATGAACGCACAAGTAGGGCGTCTGAGATCTTCAGAAGCTCAGCTAGGTGGTG